ATCTAATCTAACCCTCTTGTGATGCTTCAGTTCCCTCTAAGTCATCTCTGCCAAAATGTCACCCAGCTGTATTTAAGTATCTTCAGGGATGGGGAAATCTCTCCCTCACACCCAGTCTTCATGTGATATCCCACTGGCCCCCAAAGACCATCCTCAATGTGACATCCCACCGGCCCCCAACGGCACTCTGCGCAGCTGCCTCTCAGCCAGAGCCATCTGCTTCTGGCCTCACCGCCTCCTGGGCTTCATCTCCAAATTTGCTGACCCCATGGCTCTGGCCTCATTCTTGTTTCAGTCAAGGAGAAATTGACCGCTGACCCGGACAGTGAGGTGGCCACTACAAGTCTCCGGGTGTCACTCATGTGCCCGGTGGGTACAGGGGAGATGAGAAGGGGGAGGAGGGTTGGGTTAAACTCTGGACCCAGATGAGGGCTCCTAGGGCTACCAGAGTGAGGCTTCCTGGGATATAGGGACTCTGACCAGAGAACTCGTCTCTTCTCAGCTAGGGAAGATGCGCCTGACAGTCCCTTGTCGTGCCCTCACCTGCGCCCACCTGCAGAGCTTCGATGCTGCCCTTTATCTACAGATGAATGAGAAGAAGCCAACATGGACATGTCCTGTGTGTGACAAGAAGGCTCCCTATGAATCTCTTATCATTGATGGGTAGGGCCACTCTGCATTCTGCTTCCTCTTACCTAGGACATCCACTAGGGACACCCCCCCTTCTGTATATTGAGAGACCTTCCTTGCCCTCCCAGGAACCCCAATTCTTAACCTATCAATCCCTTTATATGTATATGTATATATATAATTTTTCACCTTTATAATATACAGTTGACCCTTGAACAATATGGGTCCACTTATACACAGATTTTTTTCAATACAGTACAGTAAATATAAATGTATTTTCTCTTCTTTATGATTTTTCTAATATTTTTCTTTTGTCTAGCTTACTGTATTATCAGAATACAGTATATAATACACATACAAAATATGTGTTAATTGACTGTTGATGTTATTGGTAAGGCTTCTTCTGGTCAACAGTAGGCTACTGTTAGTTAAGTTTTGGGGGAAGTCAAAGTTATCCATGGATTATTTTTTTTTTAAACAGTAAAGACTTTTTTAAAAAAAGATTTATTTATTTACTTTAGAGAAAGAGGGAGAGAGTGTGGGGTGGGGGGGTGAGGGGCAGAGGGAGAGGGAGAGGACATTAAGCAGGCTCTATGCCCAGAGTGGACCCTGACATGGGGCTCGATCCAGACCAGAGCCGAAACCAAGAATCGGATGCTCAACTGACTGTGCCACCCAGGCGTCCCATCCATGGATTTTTGGTTGTGTGAGGTGCTCTTAACTGTCATGTTGTTCATGGTCAATTGTATATATTTCCAACATTGAGGATTTACTGCATTGGGCATCAGGCTGCACACTTTGCATGCCTCATCTCACTGAATCCTCATAATTAACCTTGTGAGATGGGTATGGTCATTACAGGTGAGGAAGCTGAGACCTAGAGAGATGATCTTGCTCAAAGTTGTAATTGTTAGTAAGTGGCAGAATCAATGTATTGAACTGATAGAGTGTATCTCCTAGAACAACTACCTGACCTCTCACTGACCATGGTAAGGAAAAGTTCTTCTGAGGGTCTGGATATACTGATCTAGCTAGTCCTAACCCCCATCCGGAGCCTAAATTACGGTCCCCGTTCCCAGTGCCCTCTTTGAGATGGTTTATGGAGTACTGTATCTGTGTTCCTTTTGTTTTATCACAAGTACTGCATGAAACATGTGCTTAGAATGTATTTTTTTGAAAACTTAGCATTTAAAGTTGGCAAATCTCTTTTATATTACCTTACTTTATTTGATTCCGACAACTCAAGAGAGTTGAGTAGAGTGAATAATGTCCCTGTTTTACAGACGAGGAAACAGGTTCAGAGAGGTGAGTCCCAGAACTCCCCGGCTACTGTTCCCAGCCATCTCCCAGCCCCATGAATTCCCATCTCTCCCCTTCCCCCAGCTTGTTCATGGAGATACTTAATTCCTGTTCGGATTGTGATGAGATCCAGTTCATGGAAGATGGATCCTGGTGCCCAATGAAACCCAAGAAGGAGGCATCTGAGGTTTGCCCCCCGCCAGGGTATGGGCTGGATGGTGAGTGACTCCCCGTCCCCGAGCTGAACTACATCTCAGATGACCTCGTCTCTGAGACACAGTCCTCTTACCACCCGCAGGCCTCCAGTACAGCCCAGTCCAAGAGGGCAATCCATCAGAGAATAAGAAGAAGGTTGAAGTTATTGACTTGACAATAGAGAGTTCATCGGATGAGGAGGACCTGCCCCCGACCAAAAAGCACTGTCCTGTCACCTCAGCTGCCATCCCGGCTCTACCTGGAAGCAAAGGGTATGAGGAAATAGGCTGAGTCCACGCCAGAAGGGGCAGAGGAAGAAGTCAGGAATGCTCTCAGTTCACTGGACAAACCCTGGGGCAGAGAGGGGGCTCAGGAGGCTGAGCTGGGTGAGGGCATCTGTCGTTCGCTGGCTGCCCCAGTTCCTCCTCTCTCCTCACAGAGTCCTGACATCTGGTCACCAGCCATCTTCGGTGCTGCGGAGCCCTGCTATGGGCACGCTGGGCGGGGATTTCCTGTCCAGTCTCCCGCTACATGAGTATCCACCTGCTTTCCCACTGGGGGCCGATATCCAAGGTAGGACACTGATCACACGGTGGGCTGTTTGCTGCCACAGCTGCCCCCAAACCAGATCAGAACCCCTGTTCCTTTTCAAAGCCTTCTGGCTCTCTTGCAAAGGCTACAATCCAAGGGACTTTGGGTTTTTTTGGCCATGAAGGGTTCAGACAGGAGATTGATTCTGATTTTTCTTTTCTTACCAGGTTTAGATTTATTTTCTTTCCTCCAGACTGAGAGTCAGGTAAGTGGTTCCTTCTCCCATGAAGCTATCAGATCCCTGAAGCTTCCTTTCTAGGCACCGATGCCCCCCGCCCCTTTTTCCCCTAAGACCTAAATCTGCTTCTCTGTGAGGGAAGGCAGGGGCTGGGGGATAGAGGGGGTATGGGCAGTTTATTTCCCTACTAGACCCTACTGGTGCTTCTTCAGATTCTCACCCATGTCTTCTTTGATACCCTGTTACTGTTCTGTCTCGAGTTTTTAGAATTCTGCCCTGACTGCTCTCCACTTAGGCCCCCCACCCCCCACACACACCCATGTGCACTTGAGCACTGTGCCTGCCCCAGCCAGACATTCCATGCATTTCAGACGCCCACAAGGCCAAGAACCTAGCAAGCTGGAGGGACTGTCTCAAGGCAGCGGATAGGGGTAGGGTAGGGGTGGGGTGGGGAAGTAGGGGAAAAAAAGAGTCTCCCCTGCTTCTCAGAGGGTATCTGGGGATCCAGAGGGTTTGATTTATCCCAGGATATTTCTGAGATGAGTGACTGGGAAGTGGGTGAAGTCAGGAGAAAATCTTAAACTGTGCCCTTGATTCCTCCCAGCACTATGGTCCCTCCGTCATCACCTCGATAGATGAACAGGATGCCCTTGGCCACTTCTTCCAGTACCGAGGGACCCCTTCCCACTTCCTGGGCCCACTAGCCCCCACATTGGGGAGCTCTCACCGCAGCACCACTCCAGCACCCCCTCCTGGCCGCGTCAGTAGCATTGTGGCCCCAGGGGGGGCCTTGAGGGAGGGGCCTGGAGGACCCCTGTCCTCAGGTCCCTCTTTGACTGGCTGCCGGTCAGACATCATTTCCCTGGACTGAGTCCCCTGGATGATGGAAACTTCACTGCCTCCCACCACTGAGCAAGTATGCTGTGGAGTCCAGACTCCTGGCCACTCTGACCCCTCAGGGGGCTTTGGCCAAGGTCAAAGAAAGACCTTCATGGTATCCTGTGTTTGGCCTTCTGTCTGCCTAACAAGGCCAGCACCCAAAGGGTTAATATTTAACCTCTTTTTAAGGACATTTGGGTTCTATTTTTGGAAATGTTCTTTAGATGGCTGGCACATTCCTTTGGGTATGTTAACCTAGGCAGTGGGAGGCACGCGGGATGGGGTGTGAGTTGGGGGAAGGGCCGAATTGGCTAGAGCCTCATGGGGAAAGGGCCTTCCTCTTGTCCCCTAGATGCCCTCTCTTCACCAAACCTATGGTTCTGTTCCTTCCCCACATCCATTGTCTCTTCATGTCCATTCCGTTCTCTTTGGCCAGACAGGTGGAGAAGCTGAGACAGGCAGACATATGGACAAAGAACTCTATTTTGGGTTGCAGATTTTTTTGTACATAAACAAGAAAAACCAAAATACTCCAAAGATGATTTCCCCTGCTTCCTACTTCCCAGTATGACTGAGGAGGAGATAAGGCCTTAGCCCCGATCCCCAGGGGTTTGGGAGCAGGGCCTGGCTTATTGCCTGGATCTCTATTTATATATTTAAGTTCACAATGTTTCATATGCTGACCAGCTTGGGGCACGAGCTTCGAGAGGCCCATGGCCCCATGGTTAGGTCTGGCTCATTCTGCACCTTTTCTGGGAGGTGGGAAGACCTCATGCTCTCCCCATTCTCCTTTTTTAGGTTCCTCCAGGGCCTAGTAACTATGTTGTAATTTTACTTTTTATTCTCAAAGTTGTAGCAAAGTTCTTACCCATAATAAAAGTTGTGAATGTGTGTGAGTGTTTCAGAGGGGGGCTGGGGAGGGGATTATGCACTTCCCTTTCCAGAGCCCTGGTTTGGGGGGAGGGGCCCATGTTCTGTTCCTCCTTGCAGGCCCTGGGCCCACTTTCACTTGGGAGGGGTGTCCCACTGAGGAGCTCCAGGGCCATTTGCTCTTCCTTCCTCTCCCTCATAGAGCGTTCAGCCCAATGTTGCAGGGCCCTCAAGTCCTTTACCCTTACCTGCGCAGATGTTGCAGCCAGAGCCCGAGGGCAAACTTGGTCCCAGAGCTGACCCTCTCTTTGCCTTCATCCGTGGTTGGGGTCGTTCGCAGCAGCGTGGACACGGGCATGGCCAGGGGTCGAGCTCCTCCGTCCTCCTCTAGTTCTGCCGTACTGCATGACGACAGCTCCTGTCTGGGCTGTGCCTCGTGGCTTAGCCCTCTTCCACAGAGCCCTCCCAGCCACGGCAGGAGAGCGATGGATGGACGATGCCCTCATTTTACAGAGAGGAACAGGTTCAAGGAGGGTTAAATAACTTGTCCCTTTGGGGGAGTGGGACTCGAACCCAGGTGGTCAGTGCTAGCCAGCTTGGAGCAGGAACCCTTGGAGTTGGACGGACAGTGTCCTTGCTCATGTGCCCCTTTCATCATCAGCTGACCAACCCACTCCCTAAATGTCCCTCATGACCCAAAACTCCCCCCTGGGGAGGGGAGAGAAGCGGAACTTCCCAATGACTATGTGTTGGTGTGTTGGAGGGTCAGGCAAAAGCTCTTACAGGATGGAGGGTGGTAGCTCCTGGGGGAGATGTTTGGGTGTCTCTGTCCCATCCTCTGTGGCAGCCACTGCAGCTGCTACATCTGGTCCCAGCCACATAAAGGCGCTCACCTCACTTGGGTTTGGTTGGATCCGGGCCTGGGCCAGATAGGTAGGTAGATCCCTGAGCCATGGCCTCTCTTAGGAGGCCTGTTCTTGACCGCAGCCTACCCACAGGTGGAATGGAGAGAGACTTGGGGCAAGGACAAGGGGAGAGGCTATTGGATTTCTTGGTTATCTCTGACTGCCCCCCACCCGCCACCCTAGTCACAGAACCAGTCTGCTTGGGTCTCAACCCGCATTTCCTTCCTACACTGCCAGCCCTACCTGCAGCTGCTGCTGTGATTCCCGGGAGACCACGAGTAGATAGAGAATGATGTGATGGTATTTGGGGAGACCCCAGCTCAGCCTAGGAGGGTAGGCAGACTAAGAGAGAATACAGCAAAGATGAGAACTTCCTATCTCTTGTCGAGACTTTGTAAACACAGCTGAGGAAGTGGAGGGTAGAGATGGTACAGGAGGCACACGGGTGGGGATTGTGGGTTTGGGGACTCCAAACTTCCACCCACTGTTAATCGTTTCTCCTGCGGCCAAGGCAGGTAGGGCTGTTCTATAGGCTTCGGTGGGTTTGAAGTTGTTGAGGGCTTTTGGTTAAATAAGGAAGGGACCTTTTCCAGGTTCCTGTCTCACCTCCCATAACCCCAGAGGGACCCAAGAGAACTGGCCCTGGGGCAGCTGTAGTCCACTCTCCTCCCAAAGCTCTCGAAGCCCTCCGTCCAGCAGCTGGAAACGAGACAGCACTGATCCCAGACATTTCTCTCAGTAAGAGAAACATGTCCCAAGTCCTTTGTCCCTCCCTCAGCCCACACCCAAGGCAGCCCCAGACAGAGGTCTCTGGTTTCAGGGCAGGGTGAAGGTTGGGTTAGCAGACTGGTTACCTCTTCATCAAGTTCCACGTGCCCACCTGCAACAACAGTGGGACCAAGCGATAAGTGGGGGTGTTCTTGGTCAGGAAACCCTGTGCACTATTTATACTATGCCCTCCGGGGGAACAGATGCCATTGCAACTCCTTGTGAAAAGGGGACCTACCACATTTCTGGGCCTGCCTCTCTGTCCTTCTGAGACTGGGAATACCACTGTTGGTGAAGGGCCCCTTTCCTCCCTGAACTTGGGATCTTGTTCTCAGGGCACTCACCTGGGGATACCCAGAGGTTGGGAGAAACGCTGAGGGTGCGGGTCCTTCGGGTTAACAAGACAGTCTGGTCGCTGGACTGCAGCATGATGGCCACACCCAGATCCACACCTCGATTCGTGGGCAGCTCAGCCCCCGGAGCCCTGAGCTGCTGCTGGTCCAGTGCCACAAAAGGGCAGAAAGGGGGTCGCTGGCGGGGGTGGGGGGGTAGCCGTTTTGGGTTAAGGCTTCAGAAGCCGGGCAAAAATCGGGCAACGCCGCGCGGTGGGGTAGGAGGTCGAGTCTGGTCGATCCTTGCCCCCAGGCCTCTCGCGCCAGCTCCCACCTGACCCCACTCCTGCCCCCCGACCCCGGGTCCCCCTTCTCCCGACCTGGAGTGGAAGCCTGGTCGAAGCGCCTGGGAATGGCCCGTCCGAGAGGACTAGTCGTCCTCGCTTCAAGCCGCAGTGAGTGGGCCACGGCCCGAGCCCTGGCCCGGCGCCCAGGAGGCGACACACACTCTGCACGAACCTCGGCGACACGGGGCGCCCGGCCAGGATCAGCAGCACCCGCGCGGCGGCCATGACGCGGCTCGCGGCCCGCGGCCCGCCTGGCGCCCTCTGCTGGCCCAGCGGCGCCGCCCCTCGGAGCGTTCGCCGGGGTCGGAGGGAAGCCGGGCTTCCGCGATCGGCCGTGGCAAATTTAGGCGGAACACTTGGGGATGAGCCGGAGGGGCAATGTTATAGTAAATGACAGAGAAGAAAACCTCGAAATCCTCAGCTCCTCTTTTTTCCCCTCTTCTCTGTTTAGGAGAGTGATTCAGACTGGATGATTTCTCAACTCACATGTCACCTCCCGCCAGCCACGGGCCGTGTACTATATAAGCACCCCTCTGCAGCACTCCACGCCTATCGGCTCTAGTAGGTATCACCTGGAATTGATTACGTCTCTTCGCCAGACACCCAGGAAACATTCTTGACCCCTCCCTTGTCTTTCTTCTCACTCAGATGGCAACTCAGTGCGGCAGATTCTACCTCCTTAAACTTTCTCGCATGTCTCTAGCCTCCACTGTTCCTAGTCCTAGCCTTCCTCATACTCTGCCTGAGATATCATTGCAAGTCTCCATATAGTCCTTCCCCTACCAGTTCATTCCCTAGGGTTCTTCCAGAGTGATCTTTCTCAAACACAAATCTCATCATCTTGCTTCCCACTGCTCAGGAGAAGATAAGCTACTAATAAGCAGAGTATAGTGAGGACGCCCGCCCACCCTTGCTCCTGCCGGCTGTCTAGCCGCAGTGCTGGCAGGACTTAAGCTCTATTTTCTAGTCACATCCTATTTGCAGTTCTTCCTGGAACCAGGCTCTGCTTCCTTCTGGGATCCCTTTCCCCTTGTACCTGGCAAATCCTCATCTTTCAAAAGACAGATTGTCACTTTCTCTGCACTCCCTTTCCTGCCTGACCCTTCTCCCTCTTGCCTCTCTGTATGTAATACTTTTCTGCTACAGCCCCCAAGTATTTCCTTGTATTTATTTGTCTCCTCCCACTAGGCTATGTGTGCAAGGCTTATTCATCTTTGTATCCCTAAAGCCTAGCCCAGTCCTGGGCACATTAACAGATGCTCAGTAAAGAATGGTGAGTGGCTTGAAAGCAGAGATCGCAACTTATTTATCTTGATATATTATATCCAGTATAATGGCTAGCAATTAATTGGCACTTGATTGATGAATTAGATTAATTCATTACTCTTCATGATTTAGAGAGAATGGACATTGGCAAGAGGAAACCGAAGAGATTATAACAGCACCTACCTGTTTTAAATGAACTGAAGCTGCTGGGACAAATTACATCATGCCACTGAAAGAGAAAACTTAGAATTGCTGCTTTTAAGAAACCACGGAGAAGAGGAAGGCAATGATTTCTTGAGTGCTTACCATATGCCAGGCATTGTGCTAAGTGGCTTACATACACAGTTTCAGATGTGCTAGAAGCCTGGAGCTGGCAAATGTCTTCTAGCCATAGATTCTAGTGTGAATGCTGGGGCCAGTCCACCTGCTAGTCCTGAAAATAGCTTTTATTCCCCTCTGTGTGGTTGTCTTTCACATTCCCTACACTGTGTGTGTGTGTGTGAGAGAGAGAGATTACAACTTAACAAAATAAAGAACAGGTATAGCCTTTTGAGAATAGAATCTGCTTAGGAAGAATTTCTTCCACTGACACGGATATTCAAACACAGGCCTGGCTGACTTCTTAGTGGGAAATGATGCATCTGATAGATGATTAATCTGGTTGATTTAAGGTCCTTTCTTCCCCCACTGAGATCTGATGAGGGGAGAATACAGTGATGGGGATAAGACGGGATCAGCAAATCTTAAAAAACATGTCAGGGCACCTGGGTGGCTCAGTTGGTTAAGCGTCTGCCTTCGGCTCAGGTCATGATCCCAGGGTCCTGGGATCGAGCCTCACATCGGGCTCCCTGCTCGGCAGGAAGCCTGCTTCTCCCTCTCCCCCCTGCTTGTGTTCCCTCTCTCGCTGTCTCTCTGTCAAATAAATAAATAAAATCTTTAAAAAAAATAAAAATAAAAATAAAAAACATGTCAAACTCTTTCTGGTGTATTCTGGGCAGTAGGGATAGAGAGGGCACTTCAGTATAAGAATTGGCAATGGGTGCACCTGGGTGGCTCGGTCGGTTGGGCATCTGCTTTTGGCTCAGGTCATGATCCCAGGACCCTCGGCTGGAGCCCCACATCAGGTTCCCTGCTGAGTGGGAAGTCTGCTTCTCCCTCTCCCTCTGCTCATTCCTGCTCTCTCTCTCTCTCGTGCACACACTTGCTCACTTTCTCTCTCAAATAAATAGAATCTAAAAAAAAAAAAAAAAGAATCGGCAATGTATCTCACTGCAAAGACTGCATCAGGCGCCTCCTTTATTTTTCCTTCCAATCTCCCCAGAGTTTTTGAGAAAGGCTCTTCTTCTGGGTCACTGTCTCTTCATGGTGCTCTCAATATATGACTCCAACAGGAAGATGGTTTCATCCACCTGAATCTCACTGGCATCCAACCTGAGTGAAAAAGTGAAAGCAGGGCGCCTGGGTGGCTCAGTTGGTTAAGCAACTGCCTTCGGCTCAGGTCATGATCCTGGAGTCCCTGGATCGAGTCCTGCATCGGGCTCCCTGCTCAGCAGGGAGTCTGCTTCTCCCTCTGACCCTCCCCCCTCTCATGTGCTCTCTCTCATTCTCTCTCTCAAATAAATAAATAAAATCTTTGAAAAAAAAAAAAAAAAAGAAAAAGTGAAAGCATTTGCCCAGACGGAACATTCATTATTTGAGATTAGAGGCCATGGAGAATGGCATCGAGAGCATTGTAAGAGATGGTATGAAGGGGGAGATGACTGCAAAGGTCTAGGAACGAAGTGATAAAGGTCTAGGAACGAAGTGATGAAGGCCTGCATGAGGACCAAGATGAAAGGCCCGATTTGAGACACATTACTGAAGTTAAATCAACAGACTTGGTGAACAAGAGTGTGTAGTAAGGCAGTAGAAGCTGAAATGCTTTCAGAGTTTTTAAGCTTAGGAAAACAGGTGGATTAAGTTCTACCAATTGAGCTGGGGAAGAAGAGAGTGAGTTTAGGTTTGCTTGGGTGAGGCTGGAGGGATAGCAGGGTATTGAGGTGGACTTGTCTGGAAGGTATTTTGAAACATAGGTTTGAGATTTATGATGCTTACTTGTTGACATTGCGCTTCAAGGTTTCTAGCTGCTGGCGTTCGGGGGCTGTGATCATCTCCTCTATTTCTTGGAGCTGTACCTCCTCTGCACCTGTAGCCTGCATAGATGCAATGATGGCTTCCACCCTCTGAGACTTTTCTAGTAGACGCCTGTCAGGCAAACACAGCTCTGAGGCATGTCCCCTAGCCTTGGTGATTCTTTCACCCGTAGAATCCCTCTTCTCCCATGTTCCTGGTCAAAGTGGATATTACCACCTTCCAAAGACAGTTTTTACAAGTTTAACTAGAAATATGACTTCACCCCTGAAGCTCTCACTGCCTCTCATCTGCACGTAAAGTTTAATGCCAGTTTGTACATTTCTGATAAATTTAATCTGCAAAATTATTTCACTGGGGGTATATCAGAACAGTTTAGACTAATGTATGATTTAGGTCAACCTAAGCCAATAATTCAATGCAACTAGACAAGTTATTGTCTCTATTGGTTATTTCTACAGGAAATTGCCCTTCAAGACTTTGACCTTGAAAAATGTAATTACTCAACTGAAAATGCTACTCACTTGTTCTCTTTGGTTTCAAACTGTCTCCTTTCTATCAAGTTGGCTATGCTCTGAGGGGAGAGAAGACAAGAAATGCACATGGTTCTATTTAAGTAGCTCAAGTAAAATGGCTAAAGGGGACATGAGGGTGAGATGTGTCTGTGTGGACGGAGTGGGGAGAAGGTCCAGAGAAATTACCTTGTAGCACCTGTGCAGCAACATTCGGGCAGCTGACAGGATGTTCACAGTATATAAATAGAAGGTCCTGGATGGGGCATGGTCTGGCGTTTTGGGAATTTCCTATTTGTCCATAGAAAGAAAGAGAAAAGAAATCATACTGTTCTTCAGAAATGCCAAGTAAACACCTGTCCCATCCAGAACGACTCAGCTCTCTCACTTAATATTTTCCTCTTCCCCAGTCATTCAGTATCTGTGTTTACAGCAAAATCAGCCACATGGAGAGCTTTTTCTATTTGACTGTAGGCATCTTCAGTGGGGAAGAAAGAGAAGGCAATTAACATTTTCTGAGCAACGCTTATATGCCACGTAGATTGTATTTGATCTTTAGGGCAAACCATATTATTTTTATTACCACCATCCATCACCATTTTATTGATGAGAAAAATGATAGTAGGTAATTTGCTCAGCGTAACTGGGTCAGAGGCAGAACTGTGATTCTGATGTCCTAATCCATTCTGTCTGTTTCCTCATAGGGCATACACATGGCTGTGCACACAGTGAGGACCCAATAGATACTGTTGGCAGATTTAATCTATAATAGACTTAAGGCCTGAGGAAAGGACAAATCACAAGGACTAGGAGCTACGGAAAAAGGGCAATTCTGGGGTGATTTCTTGGCTGTGCCTCTTTTTAACTAGGCCATTTAAAGCTTCCCAATTCTCTTTCAAGTGCTTGCTATGTCTCTGTTAATCTTTTTTTTTCTGTCTCAGAGCTGGAGAGAGAGTTTGCTTGGGGTTCAGGATGTTTGCCTCGGAAGTTTCTTTCACTCTCGGCCAGCTCCACTGCTTGGTGATTGTTATGCCACTGCTTACCTGGAGTGATATGAAATTTCCTGAGAGCATCTTGTAAAGCATATCCTTTGCCTCCTTTGCTGGAATCATTGCAAAGTCTTCTACCTGCTTCTGTTCCAGGTGTTTCTTTTGCAAAACTAGACGGAATATTCTGGCACAGCGAGACCCAAACCTGGAAAGGAGTAAAGAGAACAAATGGCATAACATAGATTAGTTTTAGCTCCTAGTCACAAATGGCGGTTGCTGTTTCCATGTAAGGAGGAAGGACCAGAGAGAGGAACAGTGGTCAGGGATTTCTTTCACAACTCCACAGATTGATGATGGTACTGCTAATCATAAAGGAGTCACTGCCCACTGACTCACCTGAGTACCTGAGTTCCTGCATTTGTAAGTAAAGGCTTTAGGAAGCCTGGTTAATTGGCATCTTTGGGAATTAAGCGTTAGGGTATTTAGGGTGAAGAGCAGTAGTGGATGGGATCTGTAGCAGTCCAGTGGAAAAATGGGCAAGATGCACCAAGATGTATGTACACTGGGTGCTTACATAATGATCAAATTGCTTATTCAAATAAAGTGTGGACCCCAACCCTGAGCAGGGTGACCCTTGACCCTCTTACCTCTCCTGTACGACAGACTCCAGAGTGGCTGTGGCTAGGGATCCTAGAGCTTTATGCAGGTCTTCGTGTAGAGCATTAAGGTCAGTAATGTTTTGGCCTGGTCACTGTGATCTTAGTTTTAATCCTAAGTCTCTAATTCAAAATTGAAATGCTGTTTTGTTTTTCACATTGGTCTCATTTATGGTTTGTAAGTATTTCAAAAACTCAATTTACTAGGATTTAAGTCAGGGTTTTGCTTAACTAAAATTCGGTTAATTAAAAGTCCTTTTTACTTTTTTATCATCAATGTATTAGTTCAATTTTCTGACTTATTTAGTCTACTAAATATTAGCCAATTTTTTTTTCGTAAGTCACCATTCTTCTTCATAGTTCAGGCTGCCTGACTGTAAGGAAATAACTGCTAAGGATACTGATGACATACATTCCTCCACCACTGTCGCCAGACTTTCCAACAAACTCTAGCTATTAAAAAAAGCAGAGAGACAGAGAGAGTGTGTTAACTGAATGGGAAGTCCAGTGATTCCATTTCCAAAGGAGCAAATCTGGCCAAGAGTCTGCAGCAGGTAGCCCTCCTATCAGATGATGGTAGAGAAACTGTCTGAGCTGGCTAAGTAGAAAACGAGGCTACAGAAGAAGGATACCAGGTTTCAGTGGCAGAAATAAACTGTAAACACAGCAGAAGAAAAGAAAAAGAAAAAACAAAAAAGAAAAAACAGACTTACTGGATCATCTGCCAGTAGAGTGAGATACTGATCGAGAACTTGTTTAGAGATGTTATAGCCAACAGGTAGGGATCTGAAGATCTATGGAGCAAAAAGAGATGGTGAAAATGGGATTGGGAACTTAGAATTGCTAACATTATTGAAATAAAGATGTTTTAATTTCAGATATCACAAGTATAACTATGTCCAAATATACAGCAACATTGTAAGAGTAAAAAACCAGAAACAATCCAAATGTACAATAATAAGGAACTGATTAAAATAAAGTACAGCATGGCTACTAAATGGAACATGAAACTGCCATAAAAAATGAGATCTATATATACTGATATGAAAAAGGCTTAGATATACTGTCATATGAAAAAAGTAACTTTAGAACAGTATGTAGAGTATAATCCTATTTTTTTTTTGCTAAAAAAAAATATACCTATATCTACATAAATGTGAGACTATACATAAAAAAAGGTCTGAATAAATAGAGGTATCAAACTATGAACAAGAATCCCTGGGGCTGAGCTGGGATCACACAAAACTATATATATATTTATGCTAAGGTATGTTACATACAATAACAAACCCGGATTTTAGAGGTTCAGTTTGATGAGTGTTGACAATTACATATACCCATGTAACTACCACCCACAATAAGATATAGAACATGCCCACCGTTCCCAGAAGTTTAGGGGGCTACAACTTAGAAAAATTATACTTTTCTATTGTTTGAATATAGATCATGTAATTACTTTTGTTGAAAGAAAAAAGCCCTGAAATTTTTGTTATGTAAGAAGTTTAAAATTTTTAAAATAATATAAAATGAAAATATAACTATATTTAATATGGATAAATATAATTATGAAATATAAATAAAATGTATTTGATACATTAAATATTCATGTTTTAAGAAACAGGTATATTAAAAACAAATTTAAAATACACAAAATTAGTATACTGAACAAAACAAATATAAGGGGCCAAATAACGTTTTGAGCACCAACAAAGGGTCTCAGATTACAAATAGTGGATTCTTAGAACAATTAGGAATAGCTTGTACTTTGACTAAGAAAATGGTTTAGGTTCTTTTTTTTGGGGGGGGTATATGTTTTTTTTATTATGTTATGTTAATCACCATACATTACATCCTTAGTTTTAGATGTAGTGTTCCATGTTTCATTGTTTGCATATAACACCCAGTGCTCCATGCAGAACGTGCCCTCCTCAATACCCATCACCAGGCTAACCCATCCTCCCAACCCCTTCCCCTCTAGAACCCTCAGTTTGTTTTTCAGAGTCCATAGTCTCTCATGGTTCGTCTCCCCCTCCGATTTCCCCCCCTTCATTCTTCCCCTCCTGCTATCTTCTTCTTTTTTTTTTTTTTTTTAACATATAATGTATTATTTGTTTCAGAGGTACAGATCTGTGATTCAACAGTCTTGCACACTTCACAGCGCTCACCATAGCACAAACCCTCCCCAATACCTATCACCCAGCCACCCCATCCCTCCCACCCCCCACCATTCCAGCAGCCCTCAGTTTGTTTCCTGAGATTAAGAACTCATATCAGTGAGGTCATATGATACATGTCTTTCTCTGTTTGACTTATTTCGCTCAGCATAATACCCTCCAGTTCCATCCACGTCATTGCAAATGGCAAGATTTCATTCTTTTGGATGGCTGCATAATATTCCATTGTGTATATATACCACATCTTCTTTATCCACTCATCTGTCAATGGACATCTTGGCTCTTTCCACAGTTTGGCTATTGTGGACATTGCTGCTATAAACATCGGGGTGCACATACCCCTTTGGATCCCTACATTTGTATCTTCGGGGTAAATACCCAGTAGTGCAATTGCTGGATCGTATGGTAGCTCTATTTTCAACTTTTTAAAGAACCTCCATACTGTTTTCCAGAGTGGCTGCACCAGCTTGCATTCCCACCAACAGTGTAGGAGGGTTCCCCTTTCTCCGCATCCCCGCCAACATCTGTCATTTCCTGGCTTGTTAATTTTAGCCATCCTGACTGGTGTGAGGTGGTATCTCATTGAGGTTTTGATTTGGATTTCCCTGATGCCGAGCAATGTTGAGCACTTTTTTGGTTTAGGTTCTTAAGGGATGGATCCCCAGAGACCAAATATTTCAGTACCTACCATCTGAAGAGAATCCCTGTCCCACCTCAAATAATAAAAACTCTTCCAAAGGCTCAAACCTCAACCTAAACCCAGGCTCTGTGTATAAGAATTAAAATATCCAACAGTCTGTCAGAAAAGTAGTACACGAACATGAAAATCACCTCATTGGAAGACAGTGGCTGGGTGAAGGGGTCAGTAGAGGGAGTGGTAATCTCACTCATCCGAAGCATGGTCCGCACGACCTCGCTGCTGGTCTGGGTTTGAAAAGTGAACTGCAATTCAGAATTCACTCTGCTGGCTGGCTCTGGCTATATGACAATGGCCACATCTGGCAAATAAGTGAATGTTCCTGATTCAGGCCACCATCCCACCCACTTAGATATCACCTGGTCCATCCTGTTGGCAACCGCACTGACAATGGCTTGGTCACGGAAGTGCTGGTGGAATCTGTCAAGGTTGGCCTGCCAATAAATCCCATCATCTGGAACAGGCTGGGGAGGGGAAAAGGATTAGAGAGAAACATTTAGATACAGGGAATATGGTGAGTTTTCTGGTGAGGAGCTTGGATTTAACTGTTCACTATTCCTTTTCTTATTCAGTAGCAACTACATGGGGTAGAAAAAAAATCATTCAATCATGTGGATTAGTGCCTTGACAAGACAAATTCATAATACCCAACTTCAGATTCTCTAAACTCACTTCTAATCTTTATCTGAACTCTTCTCCAGTATCTTTAAGTCTCCCTTACCCTCTCTTCCTGCTCTCAGCACATGACCTTGCCTCTTATTTCATAGAGAGAAAACAGAAGGCCTTTTTTTTTTTTTTTGGCATAAGCCATTACGTCTGTCCAATGACTGAAGTAAGTTAAGCCTCAGAAGGGAGACAGCAATGGAGTTCACACTTTGTTTATTCTTGGTCAATATTTAATGAAGTTCATAATCCTACTACTTCTCAACCTTGTAAACTCCCTTGTAAACTTGTTATCTTAGTGCTCTTTCTGCCTTGCCTCAGGATGAGGACTCCTGGTCCCATTACCTCTTTGTTATCTGTGCTGTATTTTGGTCTCTTGGCTTTGGGCTCCCCAGCAGCATCTTCATCAGATGATCTTCTCCTTTTACCTTTCCCTGCCAAATAAAGCTAGGTTACATCTCATATGAATACAGGAAATCACTGAACCTCAGAGCAGGTGTCCCTCCATCCCAAGACATCTCCAGCTGCCTCTAGGTTAAAATTGCCGAGGAGCTACAAGAAATTCCAAGGCAATGATGAAATCATTCGAAGCTCAACATATTCAAAAAAGAAAGTTCTAATCTTTCTCCCTCAAACTGCTCCTGCTCCAAATGCTTCCTTTCAGTGAGTGGGACCATCATCCTCCCCAACATGCAAGTCAGACACACAGTCATTCTTGCTATCCCTGTCTCCTTCACCCTTTCTGTATCTAATTTTTCACTGGGTTTGTCTACATTTTACCTTTGCCCCACCCTTTCTGCAAGCAGAAAAATCTTTTAAAAATGCAAATTAGATCATGTCACGTTCTTTAAATCCTTTAGTGGTTTTCCTTTGCTCTTAGGATAAAGAACAGATGCTGTATGAGGTCTTGCATGATCTAGCCCCTGCCTTTCTATCCTTATTGCATGGCTCTTGTCGCTCACCATGCCTTAACTACACTGACCCATATTTACTTCCCCAAATATCCTATTTTTTTCTCACTGCACACTATTCCTTTTGCCAAAAATGTTTATCCTCTGTACCCCTTCATACATTACTTCACTGGTTAGTTCCTACCTCTGTTTCAAATCTTAGCTTAAATGCCACTTTCTCAAAGAAGCATGTGCTCTAAACCCTGATAAGTCCGGTCCCCTGTTATATATTTTAATAACATCTCATACTTTTCGGGTGCCTGGGTGGTTCAGCCAGTTAAGTGTCTGCCTTCAGCTCAGGTTCTGATCCCAGGAGCCCCATGGGGCTCCCTGCTCCACGAGGAGCCTACTTCTCCCTTTGCCTCTGCCTCTCCCCGCCTGCCTCTCATGAATAAATAAAGAAAATCTTAAAAGAAAAAAAAAAACACCTCATACTTTTCCTTCATAGTACTAATCACAGTTTATTAGTTATATATCTATGCGGTTATTTGATTAATGTAAGTTAATTAGATTACATTAGGTTTAAGCCCCAAAAGGTCAGGGACTTGGTTTTTTTTTTCCCCATCATTTTACACCACAGTATCTGGCACAGGGTAAATTCACGGTAACTGCTTGATTGATTCATTCATTCATAACAATCATTGAAGAAGAATCCACAGTCCCAGGGGTCAAAATTCCTTACCGATCAAGCTCAGTTTAGGAACCAGGTACATGTCCTTTTCACTGATGACAAGAATGGGGGCAGGTGGCGGTGGCCCCGGGTCTGAATTCTCAGTGGCAGGCACCCAGGGGCAACGCTGTACAAAGTGTGTGTCTGCTAGCCGCACAAATGTGTTTGATACCTCAGCATAGTCCATGGTCTTGCCATCTGCACAACAGGAGGAAAGAGGCAGATGAGATGGCCTAAGTTAGCTGAGGGTGCAGTCCTGCAGCCAGCCAATCTATGCTTTTGCTAACAGCTATGGATACAGTACTGACCTTCCATAGTCTCCGTGAGTCGGTCTGCCACTTTCTTCACAACAGCTGACATTGTCATTTTGCCATTCAATAGCAGCTCCTCCACAATGAGCTCTCCAGTGTCACTATACAGTGTTTTGGCAGTATAGATGTACCGGGGATACCTAAGCATTCGCAACACCCGGCTGCACTGGGCTTCATACTCCACTACACCACGTTTGTGCACTTGATATATCACCAGGTTATGTTGGATGAGTACACAAAGGGCTTTTTTCACCTAGACAGGACCCAAAAGAAAGAGGAAAGATCTGATGACATGGCTCATTTTTGTTGCCCATTTTTGTCTAACAGTTTACTAAGTATTAGGAGATGGCTGGCTAAGCATCTCTGTGCTTCTTTCCTCCCTCCACTGGATAAGTTATTAAGAATCACATGTCAATGGAAGAAATCAGTAAGATTCCTCCCTATGATGCTCATTTTTCCGCTGATCATTCAAAGTACAACGTGGGGTGCCTGGGTGGCTCAGATGGGTTAAGCATCTGACTCTTGATTTCGGCTCAGGTCATGATCTCAGGGTTTTGAGATTGAGCTTTCACAACCGGCAAGGCTGGGTGTGGAGCCTGCTTAAGATTCTGCCTCTCGCTCTGCCCCTCCTTCACCCTTGCGGGCGTATGTGTGTGTGTGTGTGCTCTCTAAAAACAAAACAAAACAAAAAAACCCCAAAGCACAATGTACTTCCCCTCCATTATTCTCATACCTTAAAGGTAGCACTGAGATTAATAGACTTCTTATGAATAAACGAGGTGTGGCATAATAGGAGCAAAGATCTGCCTAAGAAGCCATGATAAACCAGGAATACCTTGAGAAGCAGAACCTTAAGGCCTACATCTCATCCCCCGCAAGCACCCCGCCCCCATAACACTGTTCTGTTCCTAGGGCAGACTTTCTCCCTTTTTTATTTTGTGGTGTGGGGAGGAACAATATTCAAAGGTAGGTAAAAGAATGAAAGCAAATTTGGGATGCCTGGGTGGCTCAGTCAGTTAAGTATCTGTTTTCGGCTCAGGTCATGATCTCAGGGTCCTGGGATTGAGTCCCACATCGGGCTCTCTGCTCAGAGGGGAGTCTGCTTTTCCCTCTCACTCCCCTTCTCTCTCTCAAATAAATAAATAAAATCTTTTTTTTTTTTTTAAGATTTTATTTATTTGACAGAGAGAGAGGGAACACAAGCAGAGGGAGTGGGAGAGGGAGAAGCAGGCTCCCTGCTGAGCAGGGAGCCCAATGCGGGGCTCAATCCCAGAATCCTGGGATCAGGACCTGAGCCAAAGGCAGATGCTTAATGACTGAGCCACCCAGGTACCCTGAAATAAATAAAATCTTAAAAAAAAAAGAAAAAGAATGAAAGCAAATTAATGTCATCCACACATACCTGATCCAGTGATGTTCCTGTGTCGTGGGCAATTACTCTCAGTGGCTGGCTGCCAGTTCTGATTAGGTGGACTCCAATTTTTTCTACAATCTCTCCAAAATGCTCTTGCAGCAACAAAGAGCAAAGTTTAATTTCTGCTTGAGTCATTGTACTGAGGAGTCTCAGAGCTAGGGGGAAATAAAGGCCATATGTTGGAAAATTTTTCTCTTATGGTGGAAGTAGAGCTGCTGAGTGTAAATTCATGTACTTTCTGGAGGGCAATTTTGACATTACATGTTAAAAAAATTTCGTTTTAGATACTCTGTCTCAAGAAAATAATAAAAATGTCACTGTTATTCTCCTTATTATACTGATATACTGGGAACAACCTAATGTCTAATAATAAGGAGTTAATTCAATAAATGATGGCATACCCATACAATGGAATACTAGCCACCATTTAAAACAAAGTATAATACGTATGAGCACAGAAAATTGTTCATTAAGTGAAAGAAGCAGGTTAGAAAGCAAAATGTAGAGGAAAATTCAATTATGAAAAACAAAAAAGAAAAATATGTATGCATAGAAAAAAAGACTGGAAGACTATATGCCAAATTTACCTTTATGGGATTATATGTGGTTCTGATTTTCCTTAAAAATTGGGTGTAGATGGTTTTGCGATGTCACAGACTTTAGATTCTATACTTCATTGATTGGAAGAATTAAGGCCACTGTTCACAGCCCATTGGGAATGAACAGGTAGTGTCATTCCCAGTCCATAAAGAAAATGACAACTTAGAAAAAGAAAATGAGGTAAAGAAAGCTTCTCAACTGGGTGTTTCAAATAGGAGACGAAGTATGTTGTCTGAAGGGCACTATTTAATTCTAAAATTTCTACTCCTTAACAAAGTAGATACAAACAGAAACAGACATAGTGAGTATACAGTATAATTACTTCCTTATTAGTTTGTTCATTTATTCTCCCAAATCCCCAGAGGCCGAGTCTTTGCCTCTCAGCTCAATATTCCCATCCACACGTCTTTGGGGCACCATCCCCAGACCCTGTGCCATCCCGGAAAAGGACTTCCAAGGAGCTTAGCTCCTGGCTCTTCATTCCCTTCACGCAGGCTCCCGTTCCAGACTTGGTGCCCTCGTCCAGGGACGGGGCCGCTTCGTCCAGGGAACTTTTTCCACTAACCTCTGGGTCAATGCAATCTAACGCCGCCGAGCTGTCCACGGCGGCTTCTTGCGGCTCCCGCTGGCCGCCGGGGCAGAGGGGGAGCCCACGGCTCTTTCTCGCAGGAGGACGGACAGCCGGGAGGAGGGAAAGGGGAACAACGCGTGCCGCTCTACCCCAGAGTTTCGGTGGTTTCCGGTGACGCTCTTTCTTTCTTCTCGCTGGAAGGCTGGAGGACCTGCGAGCCGCTGTCTGAGGAGCCGGCGGGCGGGCTGCGGCGGGCGGACTCTCCTTCCTGCGCCTCTTTGGTGCTGGGAGGCGGGCCGCGGGGTCGCCGTCCGCGCCGCCGGCTCGCTGGGCCCGGCGCACTCACGTGACCGACGCGGGCTCTGGAGCGGCCGGCCGCACTGAGGAAGCGGCAGCGGCGGAGGCGGCGACCGCGGCCGGGAGGTAGCGGCCTGGCAAGGGACGGGCCGCTGCCCTCTCGGACAGCCGCGGCGGAAGAGAAAGATGGCGGAGGCCTCGGCGGCCGGGGCGGGCGCAGGCGCCGCTGTCGCCGCGCACCGGTTTTTCTGCCACTTTTGCAAGGGCGAGGTCAGCCCCAAACTACCGGTAAGAGCCCCGTACCCTCTGCGCTTGGGCATCCGCGTGGATCCTTCGCCTCGAAGTCCCCGAATGGGTCTTCACCTTCTCGCACAACCCTGATTTCTCTGACACCAGTCTCGCAAATACGCTCTGCTCACTGTTTTCTGGTCGCTGGCCCCAAATCCCGGGCGTCCCGGCCCTGGCTCCGGAACTCCCGCCCAGCCCATTTCCCCCTCGGATGTTCCACTTGCCCCTCCCTCCCTCTCTGCCCTTTACCTGTCCCCCTCCATCTTTTTGTCTTTCTTAGCAAGTTCTCTGACAACTCTCGCCTCAGTTTTCTTTCACTCTTTTTCACCTTGTCTCCTTCCCACGTTGACCTCTCTTTCCCCCTCTCGATACTCTTTCTGCAGTTGCTTCTCACTTTTCTCTGTGGCCTTTCCCACTTTTAACCGGATCCCCTCCCCCATCCCCAGTGGAGCCAAATAGCGGATTGTTGGAGATTGTCCCTATTCGGTTGTCTCTAGGGAAGGAAGGAAGAAAGCACGAAGAGAAAGAGAGGGGCGGCAGGTAACTGTGGGGAGGTGAGGAGGATTTTGCTCTTCAGTGGTTTCCAAGGCTCTTGTGAAAGTGAAAACAAGTATACTAATGACTTGCAGACTGCCTGTGCTCCCTGTCACTATTGAAGGAAATGGCTTTAGGAAGAAGGCAGGACATATTGTTGCAACTTGGTTATTTTGGTTGTCCTGCTGCCAGTGTCTTTAGCATCACCTCCCTTCCCCGCCCCTTCCCCGATTCTGTCTCTTCACTTAATAAAAAGATCCAGGACAGAATGCTGGGGACTGCATCCTTTGACATAAAATTGTTTTTTACCAGTTTCTGCCCGATTGTCTGTTAGCCCCTGGAGAGGTGGTGCTACCGGTGTGAAGAATGTGCTTCTGCAGCAGGCTAGCCAGCTGCAACACTCCAAACCCAGCTCTTTTGGGTTGGGTTATAAACTATTGCAGGGAGACCCACAAGGGTGAATTGTAAATCTACCCTTGGCCAACCATCCTGAGAATTAGTTATGGTTGTTCTTTTCCTTGGAAATATCCAGGTTCAACCTTAAGACAGGGTGGCTACATAACTCTACCTCCGTTATTTACTGTCTCAGATACAGTCTGTGAGAAATCCTCCTAAAGTGTGTCTGCATGCATGTCTTGTTCCTTAGAAACACAAATGGAGTCTAGTGATTAAGTGTGTCAAGGGTATTTTAGCCTTTTCACCCAAAAGTTGTGTTTTTTCCAGGATTTTATGGCATTTTCTTTCCTCTGTTTGCCCCACACCCTCCAGGGTCATAGTTTTATCTATGTGCTATTTTACTTTTGCTTGCTGATTCAGCTGTGTGTGTGTGTGCATGCCTCTTGCTATCTCTCAGTGCTAAGAAGAGCAGGTGCCTTGGTTTTTTTGTTTTTGTTTTTGTTTTTGTTTTGCCAGCGGACACCAGAGCCTCCGGAACTCTCTAACCACAGAGAGGGAGTCTGGAATTCAGCCAGTATGTGTGTGACCAGTGCCACACTGAATGTGATGCCCTGTTGAACATTGGAGTCTTCTGATCTTTAAGTGCTTTTCACTGTTTGCCTTTAAGAGTGAGAAAACAGTCTAATTTCCCAGAACTTATTATATCTTCTCTTAACATCTCAAGTCCCCACTTCGTGCTCTTGAAAAGGGATAGGTTGAAAGACTTGGTAGGTGTTTTTATAAGCCTTTGTTTGATGCCTGGAGGAGAAGTTCTTGACCTTTTTAGTCTCATTTATTATCTGTCATGACTGATGTGTAGATTGAATACTTTCTGCATACATACAAAGTTCTCAGCTGAATGTTCTGGAATTCAAGGAATATGTGGTTCCTGCCCTTCAGGACCTCACTATGCTGTTGGAAAGACAAGACAAACATGGAAAAAGTAACAACATAGGTGAATGAGGGTGGATAGTATGTGGTTTAGAATTCAGTGAGAGGGGGATATGAGAGCATTGGTGATGTGAAGTCAGGAAAGTGACAGTTGAGATAGGATTTAAGTTGAGTTTTGAAGGATAGGTAGAATTCAGATTGAGGAGAATAGCGTAGACTGTAGAAAAGAGAAGGAAGGAACATTTAGTAAATCATTGTTATGCATTTCTAGGAAAAGGTGCAATGAGGTCAGGGTTATAGTTTTGATTCATGCATGAGCCAGTCAATTTCATCTTGTTTCATGGATCTTTAAGCCTAAGCTGTCACCTTGAACATGTAAGAATGATCAGATCAGATAAGTATCTGGTTCGGTACAAATCTGACTGCTACTGAAAAACCAACTCAACACTGGTAAGTCAGTAATATGATTTTCATATATATAGGAGAACATTGAAGAGTTTTATAAAAGTAATTTTTTTATGTGAACTTGAGATTCCTTCACTATAAGTACTCAGCATAAGTAGGCATGCATTGTTTCTTGAATTGGACAAATGTGATTGGAAACCAAATGTCTTTTTGAGGGTAGCCAGACCCAGGTTTTCTGGAATAAACTTTGTCTTCGTGTTGATTTAATTTGCATCTCAAAAGGGTGCTTCCTCTTGTGCTAGTTGGATCACAAGAACGGTCATTCCTGAGTGCTGTCCTCTCTGAAAACCAGAGGTGGAGTATCGAGTTTACTGTCAGCTTTTAATGAGCTATATTGCTAGGTGGGTTTCTTGACCCAGTTGGTGGGAAGGACTGCTTGCTTCAGAGCCATCTCATCTCTTGCCAGTTTATACCTCCCCTCCACCCCCCCCCCGTAGAATCATAATGGTGTTCAGTGGAGTTAAGTTGCAGGGTTTTGGAACTCTTATTTCTTCTCCCTTCCCCGATTTCTAGGGTATAGCACTTCTTGATACATTCGGAAGTGAGTGCAGGTAATAGCAATAGCTTACCCAGTGGTTCAGCCCCGAAACTCCCCTTAGGTTTTTGTTTTTGTTGATTGTTTTTCCTGTTGGTCCTACTACTCTGAAAGATTCACGGGCCCAACTAACTTTAATGTCTGTATTAAAAGAAATAATTTTGGTTATAACTCCTGAGAGAGAATGGAATATGCCTAATGCTATGTAGGTTAAGCCAAATTCAGTTGAATTAATTTGGTGAAATAACACGTCTTACTGCTAATCCTGATCTATCCATTTTACTTTGTGTGTCTTTAGTTTGGATCCTCCTAGATAAGAGAACAAAAGGTTTATTTAGAAAGATACAAAGATCGGGGTGCCTGGGTGGCTCAGTCCTTGGGCGTCTGCCTTAGGCTCGGGTCATGATCCCGGGATCCTGGGATCAAGCCCCGCATCAGGCTCTCTGCTCTGCGGGAAGCCTGCTTCTCCCTCTCCCACTCCCCCTGCTTGTGTTCCCCCTCTCGCTGTGTCTCTGCCAAATAAATAAAATCTTCAAAAACAAAAAAAGAGAAAGATACAAAGAAATGAGGAGAAATCAAGATAATTTTAGAATGAAAATACATTCAGTGGTACTGTTATCATTAGACATCAGAAAAGAATCTCTGTTGGGGTGCCTGGGTGGCTCAGTCGGTTAAGCATCTGCCTTTGGCTCAGGTCATGATCTCGGGGTCCTGGGATTGAGCCCTGTGTTGGCTCCCTGCTCAGCAGGGAGTCTGTCCCCCGCCCCCCCCCCCCCAGCGCTCTCTCTTTCTCTCTCAAATACATAGAAATCTAAAAAAAAAAAAAGAATCTCTATTCTAGAAGTAGCTATAGATTTAGGAATTTCTCTTATGAAAAGTGTTTTCCTATTTACAGTGAAAATAATTTTAGTAAAATTTGAATTTTAAAATAAGAGAATTTGATTATATGCTTTAAAACGCTTAGGGTTTCAAGTTTACATGTGTTGGGTAAATGGCATTGTGTATTTTTGGGTAACTTAAAATTATTTTCAAAACACAGCAGAAGCTTCTACCTCACCTGACTGTCCTGTTGAGAGACAATGTGAAGCCAAGACTGCTGGAGATACTATGCTACATTGAGGGATGACTGAGTAGTACCATAGAAGGCTGTGTCATGCGATGTAAAGGTGTCATTCCATCCCCACACTACCCTATCCCCCTTTTAAATCAAGGCCAGAGAGTATTACCTGAGATTGCATCTGGTAGAGTATTCATTAAATGGGTGAGATAAATCATATGCAGAGCAAACTACTTTTGATGTTGATGAGACTAGGGTGATTCTTAAGTGTTTTATGGAGATCAGAGTATCCAAATCCAGACAAGAGACCAGTGTAATTAAGGACTGCCTAGGTATTACTCACCTCTGAGGCTCTGCCTGAAGGAACCAGCAGGCTTGTTTCTCTTTCACATCTCCTTATTATATCACCTTTGATCTAATAAGATGTCATCCTTGTCAATCAGTAATGTTACCTGCTTTGGTTCTTGACCAGGTGCTATACAAGTGATTATCATTGTGCTATGCTTGTAATGACTCTAATACAGGAAAACTTTTTTTTAAAAAAAGATTTTATTTATTTGAGACCGAGAACGCACTTGCGAATGGAGGGGCAGAGGGAGAGGCAGAGAATCTCAGTGGAGAGCCTGAGGTAGGGCTGGATCTGAAGACCCTGCGATCATGACCTGAGCCAAAACCAAGAGTCAGACACTTAACCAGCTGAGCCACCCAGGTGCTCCAAATACAGGAAAACTTTCTAACCATCCCATAGTAAGAGTAGCTAAAAAGTACATCTCATTTTTTTTAATTAAAAAAATTATTTTAAGTACATTTCTTAAAAATTTCGTGATTCTTAAAACTCTAAGCTTACTGACCTCGCTTTTTAAGTTGCATGATTCATAGGAAGATCACAGAGCAGTGTCCAAGTAATGTTAGTAGTTTATTGAACTTGGGGAAGGAATTTAGTGTTTTGAGCTGGGCTGGAGAGGTTTTCCTTATTAGATATCTTATATTCTCCTATTGGTGACTCACCAGCTAAAAAGTCTGCTTGATTAGCATCTATCTGGTACTGTGTGGCAGTTGTTTATTAGGTATTGCTTGAATGAT